CTCCCCTTCTCTCCCCTCTCCTCCCCTCCTCTCCCATTTTCTCCCCTCTCCTCCCCTCCTCTCTCCATCCCCCGCTGTAAGTTCACGTCGTAACATAATCCCAGTCAAATAATTTCCCACCAGCGCCTAATATCCGCGTTTGATGCAGTAATATAACCTGCGAGAGCGCTGTCATTAATTTCATGTTCGTTCGCTGATCACGCAAACAGCATTGCCTCCTTGTGCGTAAACAGTCTCGTGCGGGCATTAAAAGCTACAACCTTGCACAATTGGGGCGTCTTCGTGCCTCGGCCGAGACGCAAAGGAGGGGCGTCTGCAGATAATGGATCGTTGTAAGGATGCTGCATCTGATTAGGACGCGTTGAGTGCGGCGAGGAGCGCAGCGATGCCGAGGCCAAGCCGGGGCGAGGGGACGAGAGATCAAAAGCTTAGGCGTAAACTCAGATGTTTAAGGGGCTCTATAAACTGTACCTTGAAGTTGGTGCGAGTGGCTGCCTGCGAGATGAGGGATGGGCGGAGGAGACGGAACATGAGCGAGACATGTCGTGGCGGAGAATATTTTGGGAGGCTGTCTCTGTGGCGGCGAGGAGGACGACCAATTGGCTTGCAGATGCTGAAGAGCGCAGGTGTACGCACGTAGGCACAAACACACACGCACACACAGATACACATACAAACACATATAAACACATATGCAGGTTATATATAAAGTAATAGACACACACACACAGATCACACACACACACACACAAACACCAAGAATCTCCAGCTTCAGGCACTGCAAAAGCACACACACACAGATCCAATTGAACAATTCCGCTGCCGAATTCCCCCGAAAACGAGCGGCGTCTGTACAAACACCAGATAAATGTTTCCGTCCGACTGCGCCGCCTGATCATTTTTCCCGGAGAGATCGGTCAGGCGGCGGTCAGCGAGGGAGCGGCCAGGCGCGGCAGCCCTTCTGGCCGGGACTCGCAGCCGAAGGGAAGGCTTGGGAGAGAGATTAAGGGCCTGGAACGAGTGCATATATATAGATATATGTGTGTGTGTGTGTGATCTGTGTGTGCGTGTGTGTGATCTGTGTGTGTGTGTGTATATATATATATATATATATATATATATATATATATATATATATATATATATATATATATATATATATATATATATATATATATATATATATAATATGTATATATGATAGCGCTCGTTTTTGGATTTAAAGTACATGGAAGCTCCCAGACAGACCATTCATAGTTCTATAATAAGATTCCTTCGTCTCTTGAACTCTAATTTTGAAGATGAATGTTTAGTCTAACTGTTGGATGTTTTATTGATGAATCCCGGGTGACGCAAGGCCAGTCTGGAACTTCATAAAGGACGATAAATAATTGACTGAACATTTTAAAATCTACACGACGCACATTCGTTAGCAAAAAGCACGAGATTAATTCTGAAACCGGCAATCTGTCGCTGGGAATTACATCGAAACATTAATATCTGGATAACGAATGAGCGCGCGCCGGCGGAGTGACAGTGGCACTCACGTGGCAAAGAGCACTCCATCTCCTCAGGTGGTCAATTACAGCTGGCACACACACGGCATTCACTCGCGGTTCGTTTGTGGTGCGACTGCGGTTCGGAGCGGCGGAGGGCGCTGAACCAGGGGACTATAGATAGCCTCTTTCACACACAACATCTGACGGTTCCCGGGAAAAGTCAAACACACATCGATCAGCTCAAATGCTCCATGTTTGTCAGTGTTAATAACCTAGGTTGGCCATCGGGTGCGACAGCCGACTGTATCTTGGGCCTGTCTAGAACGGAGGGAGGGAAGGGGAAAAGAAGAAAATAAAGAAGAAGGAAGAGCAGGAGGAAAATATATGAAGAGATGGAACAGAGTCATAGATAACCTGATAGATAGAGAGTGAAAATATTATATATAGATAAATAGGCAGGTAAGTAGCTAAATTGATATACGAGCATATAGAGAGTTAGTGACTGAATGAGCGAAAGAAAGATAGAGAGGGTGGGGAAGAAGAGACAGACAGAATGAATGAATGAATGAGAGAGGGAGGGACTGAGTGACTGAATGACTGACTGAGACTCCGGAGAGAGACAAATAAAGAGAAGAAAAGAATGAAAAAAAAACACACAAAAATGAAAGCAAAGGAGACATACTTCCCCCACCACCAAGAACCCAAAACAAAGCCTCATCAGACGCCCCCTCCCCTACAGGTTACCACGGCTACGTCCTCTTCGCCTGGCTCTACGGCATCTTCTGCGGGGGCTTCCACTACTCCCTGAAGATGTACACCTACGAGAAAGTGCGAGCGCGGAACTTCGCCAGAACGTGGGGCTTCGTCCAGTGTTCCCAGGCTATTCCCACAGCCATAGGGGTCCCCATCACAGGTAGGGGTCTGTTTGGGCGCTGAGTTGGCTAGATGAGGATGGTGATAGTGGTGATGATGATAGTAGGAATAATGATAACAGCAGTGATAATGATGATAGCATTATTAGCATAATTGTTATTGTTATTACTATGATTATTATGATGGTAAGGATGATGATGATGAATAATGACGATAATGATGATAATAAAAAGGATGATAATGTTAACAAAGATGATGATGGTGATGTGAAAAATAACATTAATAGCAATATTGATAATAGTAATGATAATAATCATAATAGTGATAATAATAATATTGATTATAATTATAACAATAATAAAAGTATTGATGATAATGATGATAATAATTACAATGATAATGATAATAATAACAGTAATAATGATAATTATTATAAAGATAATGATTATTATAATGAAAATAATAACATTAATGTTAATAACAATGAAAATAACAACAACGATGATTATAATAATAATTACAATAATGATGCCAATACTACTAATGATTACAATTACAATAATGATGATAATGATAATAATAATAACAATGATAATGGTAATGATAATAATAATAAGAAGAATGATAACAATAACAATAATAACAATAGTAATAATCATTATTATCGTTAATAATTGTAATCAGGATAGTAACAATAGCAATAATGATAGTAGTAGTAGTGGTAGTAACAATATTGTCGATATAATGATAGCAATAATGATGATAATAATGATAGTAATAACGATAATGGTGATAATAATGATGAAGATAATAACAATAAAGAAATGATGAGGATGATAATGATAAGATGAAAAAGAGAAAGATGATAATGATAATAATAGTGGTTGTGAATGTATTGATAGCAATAATAACAATTATATTAATATGAAGGATATTGGGGATATTGATAACAATAATAATAACATTTCTATTATAAGACGGTCAAAATCATGTATATGCATCACATATAACATATGTATTTTAGCTAAATGCTTATTAGATAGTATCAAAACATTTTGCTAAACTTTGGTGTCAGTGATTCTAACCATATGCATTTATGCAACAAAAATGCATGCCACAGTGACATGCAAGGAAAACTGCTTCTATTGCTAAGCGAATATATGGTAGACATGGCTCGGCGCTGGACGAGGAAAAGTAGGAAAAAAATGCTATGATGTTGTGAATGTGTCCCTTTGTTTCCCTAGAAGGCAGACTCATTGGCCGCTATATGCATATGTAATAAGGTTGAGGGAAAAAAAGTTGCAATTCATGGTTCTGGAGGCTGCGACAAAGGACAGGGAGCGAAGAGAGAGAGAGAGAGAGAGAGAGAGAGAGAGAGAGGGAGAGAGAGAGACAGAGAGAGAGAGAGAGAGAGAGAGTGAGAGAGAGAGAGAGAGAGAGAGAGAGAGTCAGGCAACCAGCCAACCAGTTTGTCAATTAGTCGGCCAAACAGATATATATATATATATATATATATATATATA